AGCGAGAGCTCTCTGCCGGGGGCGGCCAGCAGCTGTTGGCACTGGGCAGCATTACGGACCTTGTTTCCTTAAGTGGCACTGACAGGCAGAGGTCCAGTCTGTATTTTCTGATGGGGCTGTATCACTGCACACCCGGAGTCTGAAATACGGGAAGGTAAGTTGTTCAGAAGCTCTCAGTCTTGGCATATTTCTGCTCCAGTTGACTTGTGCAAGGCCTTTTGGAGGGATTTTTTTAAGAAAAAGGCTCTGGAGTAGAGCGGGATGTTGTTACAACCCATTCCTGCGGGCTAGGAAGAACCTTGGCTCCCACATGGGAGCACTGAGCAGAGTTTCCCCAAAACAGAGGGAGTGCCCTTGAGTCGCGCTTTGAGCTGCTGCTCTCCCTGTCCACAATTGCAGCCTGTGAGTCCTGTTTCCCCCACTAGCCGCTTGGGAATTAAACCCCGGGGAGAAAAATCTTCTCAAACTTCATCACTACTCTTCTGCAGGCCATTACCCCTGTGACTTGTTTCTCTCTCCAGGGCTCTATTGTAGGCTTTATGCAGTTGGCATTTATCTCATGGTTTTGTGCATTGAAATAAGCCAAGGGGCCATTGGAGCGTACGCTGCAGTTTGGGATTACCAGACCAAGGGTATTAGCACTTAAAAGATGAAAGCGAAGTGTGCTTATTGCACAAAGGGTGAAGGACAGCGATTGGATTAAGAGGGAAAGTGTTCTGCTAAATTTGGCCTCTCACTTCTCATTTTTCTGCAGGGATGGTTGATGTGTAATTACGATCAAGATATTATTAACATTTGTGCTAAGCACTTAGAGTGTCCTTCATCTTCAAAGGACTGCAGAGGCATTAGCTAATCCTCCCAGCACTCCCAGAGGCAGGCAGGTTTTATGTTCACTGTTTCCCAGGAAAAGGTGCTAAAATTGACTGGTTCCTAGACCAGGAGCGGAGTGCATGTCGGTGACTTGATGTTATCTACGGTGGCTCATGTCTCTCATGCTGAGTCTCATGGTCTCCTCTTCAGCTTGGCCAGGGTGTGCTCCTTCAGGTCTCGCCCTCCCTTGTGAAACGCCAGAAGACTCACTTCCATGACTTGCCCTGTGGTGCATCTGTGATCCTCGGCAACAATGGTTTCATCTGGATCTACCCAACTCCAGAGCAGAAAGATGAAGAGGCAGGGGGCTTCACCACCAACTTGGAGGTGAGGGTTCAGGGAAGATGAACCTTCTCCTACCAATGATGTTTTGTTAGTCTGACATAGTCAGAGGCACATGAATAACCTGAGACTTTCAAGATTTGGTATGAGGTTCATGGCAAAGCTTGTTTACACTAGACTTGCATTATTTCCCTGTGTATTCATCTCTTCTCCTCTGCCCTTCCTCAGCCAGTTCCCTTGTCTGACCGGGAGGTGATCTCACGGCTCCGAAACTGCATTGTGGCTCTGGTTACTCAGAAGTTGATGCTCTTTGACACCAGCATCCTGTATTGCTATGAAGCATCCCTTCCTCATCAGGTATAGAAACCAGTGGTGTTTACTTTATTCCACACTGTGACAAGGGAATGGAAAGGCCGCATCAGTTGCTGCTGAAGTCAGCAACTTCAGCTGGTGGGGCTTCCTTTTGACTTTCCAAAGGATCCTGTAGTAAGTGACAATATGAACTTCCCCCCTTCTGCATAACATAACATGCCTTGCAAATTTTCAGGGATAGTTTGAAGGGTTCTGCCTCTGGCAAAGTCCAACTATTCCTACAGAGAAATAGTTCCGGTTTTTGATAGATGTGTATCCCTTGCTGGGATTATGGACCCTCTGTGATCCCTGTGAAAATAGTGTTAAATTTGGGATTGTGTGAGGGTAAGGTGCACTTCAAGAACAAATGAAAAAGCAGGTCTCATGTATTGGTACAGAGACCGGTCTTCTGTTTTTATCCATATCCTGCGCTGCTGGAAGGCTCCCTCAATTTGACCTCTTGCTGTACAGCTTTTCTTTGTGATTTCTGCCAGCACGATCAGTGGCAATTCTCTTTTCATGAACGGATAAGATCTGAATTGTCTTCTGCTTTCATTCACAGTGGCAGCCTACTCAGCTAGATTGGATGTTCCTTTTGAACTATACTTCTGTTTAAGTCATCTCTCCTCTTCCCAAATACTGGTCTGTGTCCTTCAGGAAAGATTAGGAGTTGTCAGTAGCACCTCCTTTGATTTCTTATGGTCTCTGTAAAAACTGCTAACTCTGGCAAAGTTGACTTTGCCTTGGACCCTCTGCCACGATAGTCTTGTTTGACCACAATCCTCTAAACTCACTTGCTGCTCGTTGCTGTGTGCCAGGGACCCTTGTCCCCACAGAGCGTGCAACAGTAGTAGTTGCTTTTTGGTGCCAATGTTACTCTTCTTTCCACTCCAGATCAAGGACATTCTCAAACCAGAGGTGATGGAGGAGATCGTTCTGGAAACTCGACAGAGGTTGCTGGATCTGGAGGGATAGGGCACATGGCCAGAAACAGTCATTTGAAGTCCCAGCATGGCAGCTTTTGATTCTCAGTATTTTTTTTTTTTTTTTCAGTGTTCTAGTCCCCAGCATTCATTCCATACTTCAGAAACCACCAAAATTCCTCCATTTTAACTCCTAGGATACCTCCTGAGCCCTTTTAGTATGATAGTACTAAACAGTACTTAAGTACAATAGCCTTTTTAGTGTAGCAGCCTGAAAAATTGATATCTGACCTTTATGAAGATGCAGATGCAACTGGGACATGGCTCATAGCACTTGTTGCTGTGTCTAGTGCCACTGAACTTCATGCAGAATGATAGAGAGGAAGGGATGTGTTTTTGTGATGTTTCTCCCCAAGGCTTTCTAAATGGTTTTGATTTTCCTTTACTGTGATACAGGTCTGCCAGTCTGTCCTCTGACTGAGAGCTTTTGTTTTTAAGACTGCAGATCACAGGTACAAGTCTTTAGAGGCCAGGAGTATCCACACCCTTGCTAACCACATTTTGGGTCTGGCTGTTCATGGCTTATATGTCTCAAGGGTATGAGATTGGATGTGGCATGATATGGCTGTCCGCATGAGCCAGGAGCCATGGGCAAGCGGTGACTTCTCAGTCTGTGTGCGTCCTGCTGTTCCCTTTTTTATGCCTGATGTGGTGAGCTCCTCCTCTGAGGAGGCTCCAGTATTGTTTTCTATTAAGTATTTTACATTTCAATAAATTTTTTGAAACAGATCAGTCGTTCAGGAGTGTTGTGTATTAGCTTGTCTTTCTCCAGAATGAACTGGGTTTAGCTTGAAAGCTGTGGTTGGCTCATGTTTCCTTGTGCCAGGACACTCAGAACGGTTGCATGTCCTGTTGTCTCCGCTTCAACTGTTGCTCCTTGTGCCATTAGAGCAGGACTTGATCTTCCTCTTCAGCATATCTTCTGTGCAGAGTTCCTCTGTAAGTAGGTTGCCTGGCATTGTTCACAGTGGCTCTCTCAACATAAGGATGCTGTGGAGAGGCGAGTCGTGCAGCAGCTGTGTCTGGGGGAGGACAGGGAGCCCGGTGTGATGCTGGTGCAGATCCTCAGGCCAGTGGTTAGAGGTGGGCATGCTGAGCCAGATGCTGGCAGTCAGTCACTTGCCTTCTCTGTACAGAACGGATGTGACGCTTTCCTTAAAACATCATCTCGGATCCCTGGTGCTATATTAGAGCTGTTTGCATTATATGTGTACTGTGTATATATATTGTATTTCTGTTGTATTAGAGCTGCTTGCACCACAGTGCTGTAATTCTTAAAAAGGATGAAAAAGCAAAATATCTGCCGTAATTGTCCCGGAATCTAATTCTAACATTGCAAATTGTCATGCTTGCCCCAGGCAAAAGGAAAATCTTTGCTCAATCTTTTCCTGGGGACTAGAAGTACCCTTCATTGCTTCTCATCTAGTTCAGACTGCTCTGCCCGCAGCCTCCAGTGAGCACTAGGTGGCAGCTTCGGATCGCGTTTGTAGTATTTATCTTCCCCAGCAGCTCTGCCTCATTGCCCTGCCAAATAGCAAAGGCTGGATGTCTGCCACCAGTGCTGTTACCTAAATACTAGAGCATTACGCAGCTCGGTAGCTAAGGACAAGCGAGGACGCGGTTAATCCATTCTGCTGCTGCACAACTCAAACTTCTGCCCGTGCTGCCTCTGTAAAATAGTACTTAACTTCTGGGGGATATTGGTGGAATGCTCCTCACAAGACCCAGGAATTGATATTTTTGAGTTTTATGAGGATTCCCTAATAAGTGTTGCAACAATCGCATCCTCAAGCTGACTTTGGAAATTTGAAAACTAAAGCTTGACAGTGACACTTTGGGGTCTCTGCATGAGGCTGGTAGCAGCATTGTCCACATCTGTGTAGACAGGAACAGTGCAAAAAGGCTAAAAGCTTTAGCAGCCTCTGCATCTTTCAATTAGAAAAGTACCTCCTTTTTCCCTACTCAATTGCTGTAGTTTAGCAGCTGTTTATCTTATTACCATATGGGGAGATTCAGGGATTTCTGCTGTGAGGCTTCTAGGCATAAGCAGATTGGGGATATACAAGCAATGAGATAAAGTATCTGATGTTCCCTTTTTTTAAAGCATTTTTGAAGGCTGATGGAGAGGTCTGTGTTTAATCCAGTAGATCTCTGCCGCTTAAATTTAAACAACTCTGCGTCAGTGAAAGGACAAAGGGGTGAAGAGACTGTACTTCCCTACCACCCAAAGAGATTTGATATCTGGAAACGGTTCTGCTGAACTGGTGCATGAATGCAAAATGCTTCTCTGTCCTCAAGCAGCCTCTCTGCAGGCATCTGACAGGGCAGAAGGGGGTTGGGGGGGTTATAAGGCTCTTGAAAGTGCTGTCAGTAATGTGGTGAAAACGTGCTGAGGAAGTGTGTTCTGGAGGCGGTTAATTTAGAGTTGGATTGTGCGCATGAGTACCAAGCATGAGCTGTCAGACCTGCAAGGTGAGACAGTGCCAAGTTCTCAAAAGACAGATCTTAGGAAAAGGGTGCTGGTGTCTATGCAGCAGGCTGTGCGGGCCACACAGCTGAGTGGTTATCTTTTTTTTCCCCCATCTCTTTTTTTTTTTTTTTTTTTTAAACCTTTTCTTTCCTCTACACAGCAGTGGTCTATTTCCAGGCTTCTTATGCTAGCCCTCCCTCCCCATTTTGAACCTTTTTTGGTTATTTATGCTCAATAAATGAGTATACAACCTGAAAAACAATGAACTCAAGATCTGGACTGCTTCAGCTCTGGGCTTTGATTCCTCCTGCTCGCTGCAGCATTCCTGATATTTTGGCCTTGGGGATGTATTAAATGGGGGAGCCATTCCTGATATTTTGGCCTTGGGGATGTATTAAATGGGGGAGCGTTTGTGACTCATCCAGTTCCCATGCTCCTGAATACCTGGCGCTTTTGTTTTTAAGCCCGAGAACAAGAGCACCGGCTGGTAAGGTTTGGTTATGGATCTTTTCTGATGTGTGGGGGCAACTGAAGGTGCCGGTATTTTCCTCCGTGGCCACGAGGGGACATTGCCGTTCTTTGCAAATTCAGCCAGTGCTTTGCCAAGCCCAGACCTAAATTCTGTAACAAGGCTTCAGCGAGGGCGTTGCTGCCGGTTCCTGCAACCCCATCAAGCACAGCCTTGCAAGCCAGCAGGTAACAAGAGGTGAGAGTGACAAACTTGTGTGGGGAGGGAGAAACTTCCCGAGCAGTTTCAAAGGTGTCCAAGAAGGGTACCAGGCCAGCTGCCATTTGCTGTTGATTTGGCTGAATCCTTGTGACTTTCTGCTCTCTTGACAAATGTCGAGGGCCACCAGTGCTCATCCATCTGGAAAGCAACTGGATGTGCTGCTGGGGCTCATGGTCCCCACAGGGAGAGGCTTCAAGTATCACTCTTCGGTCATGACCCACAATATGGCAAATGACTTTTCCCCTGTGCCCATCAGAGTGAGGAGTCAGACGGGGTCTGGGGGAGTTTCTGGCATCTCGGGTAGGTGGGGAAGCTGGGGCCCCTTTTTCCATAGGCAGGTTTGCATGGGAATATGGGCAGGCTGTATAAAAAACATCTTTGAAACGGGAAGTGCTCTATACGTAAATGAAGACTCCAGCAAAGGCAGTGTCCTCTTGAAATAGTCTGTGGGATTTTGCTCTCTTGAATTCTTGAAATAGTCTGTGGGATTTTGCTAGGCAACTTCTAAGCAGGAAGGGTGAAAAGGAAGAAAGTATGGCTTCTCTGGTTTAAGAACAAAACCGTAGTTGAAAGTGGGGTGGAAAAATACCTAATAAATGTTCATTTTTATAAATGGGAACTAAAATGCCCATGCAGGCATTAAAAGAGCTTAGACCAATCCGATTTCTTTAGTCGCTGGTGTCTGACAGTGTGGAGCCTCTTTGTAAACCAGCTGTAGCACCTGCCTGTGCTGCTTACTCCAGGGTTTGCATGGCACAGACGTGCCTGAAAGCGGAGCTAGTAAATAGTTCCCTTGCTGGTGAGTGCTGCCTGCAGAAACGAGAACACAAAATCACTTGTCTGTAGAAATAATTTTCCTGTTTCTTGGTGGCAGTGTTTGATTCATGTACTAATACGAAGAATGGCAACCCCTCCCTTTACTCCCAGTAATAACCATTGGGACTTTAAATTTGCGCTAATGGGTTATTAATCCAATTACTGCTGCTTGTTACATTACTTCTGTCTCATCCACATGCAGTTTTGCTGTTCAATTGAGGTGAATGGTATAAATACCAAGCTTTGAGGAGACCCTAGAAGATACTGAAACCCCACTGGGCTTATAGGCGTTCTTGAAATGGTTGTCTCAGGTTCCTGAGGACAGCTAATTAATATGCTAAGGTTTATTATTTGGTAAAGAGGCTGAGGCTTTAAGATACTGTTACGGAGGAAACATCACTGCAGCTGTGGGGTGTAACAACCCACACTTAATTGAAGGTAAAGAGAAAAAGTACTGAAATTTTTTTTGTGAAATACATGGGATATACACAGGCCACATGCAAGGCTTGATTGAAAGAAAGTCTGTAGACTTTTAAAATTTATTCTGCATTCACACAATCTTTCTGTCTCTGTCTTCTCTAATCATTTCTGAACCCACTGGGCAACTTCAGGTTTGTTAACATGAGACAATCATGTTCACAAAAACTGGCAGCAGGGTAGGGGACATAAAATATAATACCCTTCAGGAAGGAAAAGAGGGCAGGTATCTTGCTATGATATTTGGGAGTGACCAGCTGGCCCATCTGCCTCTGTGTAGCCCCAGATTAACTACAGCGCTGCTTTGGGAAACAGGAAAGGCTTTTGGAGCAACTGCTGAGTGGAAAGAGGTTGGGGACTGCTGGCAAAGAACCGGTCCCACTTTGCTGCTTATGATTGCAAAACATCAGAAGGAATGCCTGACTGTTGACCTGAATGATAAATTCACCTAGTCTGTTAAATAAAAAGTAAGTACATTCATCTGCATAGATCTCAGGGGAAGCAGGGAAAAGTGTATATACAGCCTGTATTGTCCAGAACACAAATCCTGCTTATTTGCAATTACCTTTGCCTATTTTGGTCAAGGTCATCTGAGTATCACGGACCTGTGGTAGTCTTCTGGAGTTCACTCTGCTTTAGCCCTGCTGTGGTAGGAGAGATTATCCAGGATGCTCCAGTCAGACCGAGAAGTGAATAACTTTTTCAGTAAAGGATGGTTGATACTGGTTTTTGTAACAGATTTCTTTCAGGCTGCTCAGCCTGTGTTGACAGACAGCTTTGTTCCCTCAGTTCCCTTCAATCTGTGGGAGCTGAGCAGGGGGTTAGACCACCGCAGTGAGAAGCTGATCTCCAGTACTGAGATAAACCTGGAGAAGTTCTGCTGAGTTCAA